AAGCCCTAAACCCTAGTTACTAAGTCCCATGATCCTCCAAGTAAGGAGACCCCCCTAGGACTGGCCCGCCGTGCAAGAGCTGCTGTCCCGGGGTCAGCTGGAAAGCGCCCCTGGCCCTGATCGGATTCCTAAGCCCCTAAACCCTCAACCCTAAACCCTACACCCCAAACCCTAAACCCTCAATCCTAAACCCTAAACCCCAAGCCCCAAACCCTAAACCCTCAACCCTAAACCCTAAACCCTAAGCCTTAAACCCTAAACCCTTTACCCTTTACCCCCTAAGCCCTAGGTGGGATGAGCGCTGCAGGTTGTCCCAAGCCCTGAAACCCGAAACCCTGAACCCTGTAGACCCCAGGGCCATGAGGGGGCTAGGGCTTAGGATTTAGGGTTGTAGGCCCTAAGCCTTAAAACCCCCCAGTTGTAAGGTTCAAGGTTCTCGGGCTGAGGGTCTAAGATCCGAGATTGTAGATTGTAGAATCTCGGGTGGGGTTTGAGGGTCCAGGATTGTGAATTATGGGGCCTGGGGCCTGGGGCTTCTAGGGCTTAGGCTGTAGGGTTAGGGTCTTGCTTTGGGTTTGTAAAGCCACCGATTGTTGCCCAAGTTTGCAGCTGAGGATTTAGGGTCTACGTCTACGGTGTACGGTGTTAAGTTCAGGGTTAGCGGGATCTCGGTTCTTCAAGGCTTTTATGATGTGTGTGGGTGCAATAATCGAGTTCTTCCGAGGTTTACCCTCGACCCCAAACCCTACAGGGTCGTAATGCTTTCGGGGTTGGGGGTTCTGTAGTCTAGGGTGTCAAAGAATTAGGATTTCAGAGTTTGGGGCGTAAGGTCCATCCTATGGTTGTGGCGCACATGGTATTTAGGGCGTTGGGATATAAGGGTGTAGGGATTAGGGTCTGGGGCAGCCCTAAACCCTAAACCCTAAGCCCTAAACCCTAAACCCTAAACCCTAAGCCCTAAACCCTAAACCCTAAACCCTAAACCCTAAACCCTTTGTAGGCCTTTTCTGAACTCAACACACGCCTGTTTCAGAGGAGGGCTTCGAGGTCTTTGGGCTGCATCTTAAAGGCTAACATAGCGGCCTTAATAATTAGAAATAGGGTTTTGGGGTTTCTTTAGAGGGGTCCTTAAAGGGCTCTACACGGGCTACTATAAGGGTTTAGGGTATAGGGGCCTGAATAATTAGAATAGGGTATTGGGCCCCATTGTACTATTGTTATAATATGGAACCCCCAAAACAGTATTGGTAATTACTTAGGCCCCTACACTAAGCCCTAAACCCTAAACCCTATTGAGGGTTGTATGTAGAAGCCTTAACAATTCGTGAGACTATGTCTTGGGGCTCCGTTCTGCAACTAATAGTATTATATACCACCAAGACTTATGTCTACGGTAGGCCCTTGTACCAAGCCTTCACGGTAATCCTTGCAAATCCTTACTTTTAGTAGCCTTTAGACATGGAACCCTTCAAGCCAACCTTCGCGGGTTTAGGCTGATCTGTTTAAGTCTCGGTTTCAGGCTTTAGGGTTTAGGGGCTTTGGGTTTAGGGGTTTAGGGTTTAGGGGTTCGGGGTTTAGGGGTTCAGAGTTTAAAGGGTTTAGGGCTTTAGAGTTTAGGGGTTTCGGGTTTAGGGGTTTAGGGTTTAGGGTTTCGGGGAAATTACTTTCATAGACCAGGGTTCAGCCGCCTTGGGGTTTATGGTTTAGGGCGGTTTCGGGGTATATATGTTTGGAGTATCGATATGTAGGGACGGTGAGGAAAGGATGAACCACCCAGAGCTCTACATGAAGCCTTGTATTCAAGCCCTTATTATACAGCACCGGACAAAAAGCGTGTATGGAATGTTCATAAAACGATTCAATCTTCGGCTTTTATCAAACCCGCAAGCCTCTAAGCAGCCCTTGTTTTCCTTTCTGAGACAAGACCCATCTCAGGTCGTGACGCACGTGATGCAGGGCCTGGAGAACTACACCGAGGCGATCGAAAAAGTCCGATGTCCACCCGCCTCGCGGCCGTACCACCAAACCCTAAACCCTAAACCCCCACTGTAAATGGCTACGGCTCAAGCTATGGCTCAAGCATCTGGCCCACATTCTTATTCGGTTTCCCCTTTGTCCCTTGCCTCACTCTCCATCTGGGTGCTCTTCGTTGCGGTGAACACTGGCGGCCAGGCCCTCATCAACCTGTACCTCTCTGCAGCTGTGGCCGTGGAGGGCGACGTGGTGCTCCTGGCGGCCAGTGCCTCCTCGTCCCCTACCTCTGTGAAAAGTTGGAAAAGAGCCGGCGCTGGGGTGACCTGGTTATCCTCGCCTCGATCTCTGACTGTGGCGGCGGCCTTCCGGGTGAACTTGGGGTCTTCGCTCTCGGTTGTTGGGCTACTTCTCCTTCCGCCCGGAAGACTTCACCATGGCTGCGGAAACTGACCTCCCGGAAGACATGCCTGTGGAAGTGGGGTCCCCCACAGAGGTCGCTGAGGATTCGGATATGGACGTGGATAAAGAGGGAGTCAGGCCTACAGGGAGTGGCGATGATGATCGAGCTCGGGAACGGGATATCAAGGTGGAAGTCAAGACAGAGGTGACTGCAGCAACGGTGGACCCCAAGCCCGAGAACAGAAAACGTCGTGCTGGTGCGCTACCTGGGGAAGATGCACAACACGCCGTGGAAGATGAGAGTCCTTCGAAAAGGCCCTTGTTCAACAGTGAGGATAAGCCGGTGACGAGTGCGGAACTTCGGCAGCTTCTTCAATTGCACACGCAGGAGATGAAGGAGGCCTGGTCTTCTATGCATGGCAGGCTCGGAGAGGTTGAACGAAAACAACTCAATCAATCGGGTGAACTTTCCTCACTGAAAGGACGCGCCAAGATCAACGAAAGGGAAGTTATGGCCATGAAACAGAACCAGGAGGTTGCGGCCCGCAAGGTGGAGGCGCTCACTGAGGATGTGAAGAACCTGAAGGTCCAGCTTGAGGAGGTCAAAACCAGCGTTGCCAAAACGACAGATGGGCCCCCAGGGGGTGGGGTGAACTGCCAGGACCTCCTGAATCCAGCACATGCGCACGATCCGTGGGGTGACTATCTTCGACGACGTGCAGGTGGTCATGGACTTCTACCTGGACAAGGCCGACATCGACCTGTTGGAGGTGATACTGATCGTGGTGGGCCCCACAACCTTGCTGAACCCTCTGCTCCAGCCAGGGGTGCACCGGCAGAACAGGGTGATTCACTTAGCGAAGAGGATAAAAAGACTCTGGTGGTGGGTGGCTGGATGGCGGACACTCGACGGGCTGTCATTGAGGATGAGTCGGCGGTGATCTTGCAGAGGGAGGACATTAAGGCGTTGGTCGATGTTGATAAGCTGGCGGTCTATGGCCCGCGCCGCAGCGTGGGGATGTTGAAGTTCGTTCAACGAGAGGGTGAATCTTGCACTGAAGATGTCCGCTCCAGAATGTGGAAGGTGGTGAAGATCTTGGCCCAGGAGAAGTACGTCCTCCCCAGCACCCAGTCGTCTGGGGATGACAAGGCCATGTGGGCGGCGTTCATGAAGACCAAAGCCGCGAGATCAAGGACTGCCCACATCAGCATGCTGAGACGAGTTTGCATTGCCCTCGCTGCCGAAACGAAGGATGAGGCGGGTGCCGTTCTGAGATTGGAACACACAGAAACAGGGGCCTACGATATGGATTGGAGCGCCGGCACCATTTGGTGCGGAATCCATAAGTTGGGGTCAGCAACCCATCGCAGTCCCAAACCTCAACAGGCCGAAGTCATCCTCATGGGCAACGGCTGGGTCAACCTGGACGCAGTTGCGCTGGTGGCTGGATGTTCCCCGGACACTGCCAAGCGAGCTTTCGAGCTCGAACTTTGACAACCGGCGGGCCATAGTTTCACTCCGCCTGACCGTAGGCCTGACAATGCTTCAGCCGATGGTGAGGAGGATTTTGCTGCTCCTGTTCGAGGGGGTGAACTTAAGGTTTCCTCTCGCGTGGGGTCACAGGCCAGGCCTTCTCAGTGTGCAAAACACAGGTGGGGCAGGGCGATGCAATGGAATTTGGGTGGTCAAGACGTGAAACTCCTCGACTTGGCGGCCGCGGATGGTGACATTGTCTTTGCGCAGGAGATCTCCAGGGGTGACTGTGGATGGGATGCATTCGACAGTGACCACTTTCATTGGGTGACTTACAGACATGACTCGATGTGGAGAAGTGTTGGGGTGGCTATTTCACAGGACAAACTCGACTGCATAGTCGACAAAAGATGCTGTCCAAGAGGCATTTGGGTCCTTGCTCGCATTAAAGGACTGGGAAGGGTGGTGTTGGGTAGCTTGCATTGCCACACTGGGGTCACGCATGCGGTCTACCAGGCAGCGGTTGTCCAGTTCTTCCGATCGTGCCCGTCTAAATGGAGACAATATCCTCTGATGTCTGGCTTCGACGTCAATGAGACCCCCTGCTGGAACTTGCCGGACGGGTCGGATGGCAACCAGGAGCTCACACTAGGCACGTGCTCTGCGAACCTCAATTTGTTGGCGGAGCAGGCAATGCAAGAGGGCATGCATGCCGAGGCTCCTCGGCCTGGTGATCGCAGGGCGCCCACACACTTCCCACGTGACCCTAGGCGACGTGGTCGACAAATCGATATGATCTGGAGCAGGCAGATGACAACAACAGCGGTGGTCATCGATGCTGAACGTCGTCATACCATTGGCACCGACCACGCGATGCTTATCGTCGAGATCTACAGCAATGGTTCAGGGAAGAATGCCTGGGGAAATGATTCGCGTCCTCGTTGGGTATTTGGAGACCTGCCACTCGTCACGCTCGTCGACGCGGAGGATGTTGCTGATCTTGCACGCCGAAGCTCACGCCCCAAGATGAAACACTCCTACCGTGACCCCGAAGAAGTACGACAAGCGATCAGCATCGCGAGGAGTTCCGGAGCTGGTGGGGACTGGAAACGAGTGCACAAGCTTCGTCGCCGTGCTCGTCGTGAGTGGCACTCACAGCGCCTCACCCGGATACTTAATGGCGACTGGACGATGTACAGGCAGCTACACAATGAGCGCCACCGCAAGCGAGGATGGTGGGGCCGACTCCTTGCTGACAGGAGCTCGGATGCGCTCACGAATGAGGTCACGGCACACCTCCAGCAGAAAATGACATGTGGAGCATTCGAGAATTGGGACGAGGTCTTGCAGGAACACATTGACATGGTCCAAGTGGGTGACGTCTTTGCACCGATCACTATTCTTGAAGTACGAATGGCCTTGCAGGAGATGAAACCTGGATCTGCGGTTGGCCCGGATGGTATAGGTGTTCACTTTCTGCGTGCTGTTGCGAGTGATGATCTCCTGGCCCCGCAGCTTGTTGCCATCGTCAACCAGATCGTGGAGCACCTGGAAATGCCCCCGCAGTGGCGTGAGAACTACTTGGCCCTCCTGGCAAAGGTTGACGTCCCCATCAAGGCGGGTGACTTAAGACCGATATGTGTAAGTTCGGCGTTCCACAAGTTGACCAACAAGATCGTATGTGCAAGAGCCATGCCAGCAATGCGGCGAGGTTCCAGGGTCTCCGGTTGCGGCAAAGGAAGACAAGCTGCGGACGTCATCGGCACACTCAGTCGCATTCGCGATGTGGTGCAAGAATGGCGCCTGCCGATGCTGGTCTGTAAACTGGACATCTCCGGAGCTTTTGACAGACTAGATCGCCTGCAAGTTGTGGACCTGCTCAAGAGTCGTCTCCAACACTCAGGGCATGACTATGAGCTCAGATACCTCTTGGCGCAACTTAGAACGTACTCGCTCAAGGGTGAAGTGCCGGGAGGGAAGCAGATCAGTGTAGAGCCGAATGTCGGCATTAAGCAGGGAGCTCCGGAGAGCGCCGAACTCTTTGGCTTAGTGATGGACGCGCTCCTGTCGGAACTCGTCGAGATGAAAGGGTGGAAGACACTGGGTGAATCCGTTGCAGCCATGGACATAGAACTCGCCTTTTACCAGGACGACATTTTTGTTGTTGAACAAGATCTCGTCCGGCTTGGTCGAAGAGTGAAAGCTCTTGAGCGTCACCTCATGAAGGCTGGGCGTTGCCTCGCGACGGAGAAGACCAAAATCGTGGCAAGTGCGGCTTACACTGGGACCAGGCACATTCGCATTGGGGGTGATGATCTCAAGATTGCCGATCCTCATGACTCCCTCAAGGTCCTGGGTCTTGACTTCAGCCTCCAAGAAAGCCCCAGTCAACAGGCACGTGAACTCCTTGGAAGGACGAGAGCTGCAGCCGCCAAACACAGAGAGCTACTTCGAGGACGTGCAGCATGGAGTCGCAAAGCCAGTATGATCGGCACCCTGCTGGCTTCGCAATTTCAGTGGACAGCCGGGGCGCTTCATTGGAGTCAAGATGATCTTCGTCAAGCCAACACGCTGCAGCTACATGTACTCCGCAGTGCATTCCGAATTCGGAAACTGCCTAACGAAAGTTGGGTGACTTGGAATGCTCGCAGTATGCGTGAGTGTCGCTTGTGGCTGGCCAACCACGAGATCAAACGTTGGTCCACACTCATTCTCACTCTTCAGCATACCCTCCATGGTCACTGGGCTAGACAAACCGAAGAAATCCATGTGCACAATGGGGTGAAGTTTGAGCCGAGCTTGCCCATGCGAGCGCTACTGTGGCGAAACTCGAGATGGTGGAGACAGCAGCAATCTTTGTCAACGACTGTGAGTGTGCGTCGCAAAGGTCATGTATACCTGAGCAACATGGAGAGGCAACTGTCAGAAGTACACGGCGCTGTATGGCACCAAACCGCAGCTGACCGTGCAAAATGGTCGAGGGAACGGGACATGTATCTTGCTAGATGGGACCCTCGGTGGTGTCGGGGCAGACAAGATGCCCTCGCAAACTAATCACTCATCACCTCGGGGGGTGAATGATTCTCGTTGAGCTGACAATCTTCCCCAACGGTGACTGGGTGTATGGTAGTTGCGGTCGCTACTGCCGCTCTGCAAGTGTCTGCATTCTCAGAGTTCATGCATATTGTCGTCCCCCAGACTCACACTATCCTTTCGATCTTTCACATCTTCGACTATATCCTTGAGGCTGTTTTATTTCCGTATCTCAGAAAGATGCTTCTCACATGGATGACCTCTACTACGCGCAGCATGGCATGTGCATGTCTTGATGACTTCAGTGACAGGGCAGTCTGATCCTTTGTCGTTTGCATGAAACCCCATGGCCGTGAGACCGGAGAAGCCACAGCAGTTCGGCCTCATCGCTCAAGTATTCGCAGCTAGGCTCGAGGTGAACTGCTACCTCCCAGTACCCCCGTGCCTTCCACATGGCGCTGCTTCGGTGGTGCCCGTTTTCCGTGCTCTACCTGGCTGTGGGCATGCCGTGGGATGACCCGAGCTCTTCGTCGACGCCCCCGGCCGAAGCAGGACGCTCGAGACCGTGGACCCAGGCTGAGATCGCGAACTACATGGCGGACAGATGGGATGAAGATGTCTGCCTTGCCGTCCTTCATGAAGACTGCGAGCCGCCGTCGGAGATGGAATGGCCGGCCTCGGAGTGGGAACCATCGCCGGCGCCGCATGATCTTCCCCTTCCATGTCTTGGTCAACGCCGTAACCTTCAAACTGCGGAGCCGTCCACCACGTACGTTGCGGATGAGGTTACTCAACCCCCTTTGGACATGGCGGTGTCGGGTGACATGGGAGCTTCATCTTCGATGAGGGCGAGATCGGAAGTGGCGGAGGAGTTCCCTCAGCATGGCAGCGCAGCATCTTCCTCGTCGTCCGCGATGGGGCCTCAACCTCCATATAACTACGTCGCCACTCCACCTGTGGAGAACAACGGGGACCAGGTCGATTGGTGGGAGGCGATAGTGGACAAGCGAAGACTACGTCGTCGTGACCGTGACCCTCCTCCTGATCCCCCGGTCCAAACACACGGCCCGACACATACTGGGGTGAGCTTCTACCAAGTGCAACCTTCCTCGTCCTCTTCGTTGCCGAGCTCCTCTCCTCTTCTTCATGGCAGACGAGTGGCTCTTGTACCTCGACGACCTGTGGAGACGTGGACCAGGACTCGGAGGGCATCACGATGAGAAATGGGAAGATGAGACCGGGTCGCGACCGGTGGCACTACCCGGACGGGTCCATTATAAACCGGCAGAGAGAAAGACTAGCCGCTGAACAAAGAAGGGGTGACCTCTTGCCCATTCCGGAGGCCTCCCTCTTCACGGTTGCTGGCGTGTCCGCTGCGAATGATGGCACTCAGGATGCGGTGCTCGACGTTACCCTCAACAATGGGGTGACTTGCAAAGTTCGGGCCAATGCGCCCCCTCAAGTTGACCAAACAGCCGAGACGGCCTCTACCACTGCGGGTGAAACATCGACAGAGATGGGACGTGACACTGAGACCGATGGCGATCTCGGTGACACAGAGACGTCTTCGGCCGACAACAGCACCGTCGGCTTCTGGAGGTTTGGTCAGTGGGTGCCCCGCGCGAGGACGCAGGCAGAACAACGTGCTCATATGGGGGGCACTGGTCCACAACGCAGTCGTCGCAAAGCAGAGAGAGCCGCTGCCTACTTCAGGGGTGAGTGGAAACCGGCGTGGCTCCAAAACTATGTACGAGACCGCCAACTACGTGAACAAGCGCGCAATGATGCTGGTGCAGAAACTCCTGCCGAACCTCCAAACATGTCCACCGCTTCGTCTTCGACACAGGCAGCGGATACACAATGGCGCTCGGCTGGATCTAATGGTTGGTGGGAGAAGAGCACGTGGGAAAATGAAGACCAAGACAGCATAGCGGCGGAACCCCACACACCATGGTGGACCAGCTCGTGGGCAAGTGCATCCTGGACCTCGTGGACGTCGTGGACGACATGGACACAATGGGGAATGGACGAGGACACCGAAGCACCAGAGGCGCCCTGGACCACCACGTCGACCACGACAGCCTCGCAGGAAACCGTCATCCCCAATGCAGGCCTGTATATGGAAGTTCGACCAGCGCGGCCCATGGGGTTGGAGGATGGTGAGGAGGGGGATGTCTTGCACTTAATGCAGCTCACAGGGGCTGAATCTCAAAGTCTGAGTGAGCAAGGGGTGCCAGACGACCAAATTGTCCGGATCGAGAACCTCCTCCGTCAAATACATGTGCATGAGGCCAGCGGAACCGGGCCTGAAGCCAGGTGGGCCCTCGCCCGTCTCATACGGCGCATGGAAGATGGGATGGAATCCGTGGAGGCCACCATCGTCATTCTGGCGAGACGACTACGTATCCAGGGCTACCTGCCGGTGACCCGCATCCCACGGACAGACGCACAGCAGTGGAACTTATTTAGCTGGGTGAGGCAATTCTCAACCATGGCACTTCGCATCATCGAACACCATATGGCCGTTCCCCTGCAGGGAAGCGAAGTTCAGGAATCTCCACCCCCGCCACCTAGCAGCACGACGAGTGTCATGGGGTCCAGGGAACTTGAAGAAACTACAACGGAGGAGAGGGCTTCGTCGTCGTCGAGGAGAGAACCACGTACGTCAAGGAGCAGGAGCCGGAGTCCACATCTTTCGCAGCACAGTGGAGACACACCGAGAGACATCCCATTGCCAGACAGTCGCACACTCCCTGGGATTTGGAGAGATCCCCCACTTGAGGACCTTCGTGCAGACAACAGCATCTTCGCTGCAGCCAGTGGGTCGGGGCCGTCTCTCCCTGGGGCTACTACGTCGACTACCACTACAAACTGGTGGGTGCACTATTTGGCGAGACAGAGGGAGTGGTTGGCATCGACACCATGGCCCGTGTGCCCACCTACTGTAGCCGACGAAGCTGGAGTGGGGGCCACTGACATGGTCTGGGTGACTTCGTTGGCATCATGCTCATTGCCATTCTCGAGCTCGTCATGCACGTCTTCTTCGTCTGCCTCGCAGTGTCTGTTGAGCACGTACAGTACCACCTTCGTCACCCCCGTGAACGAGCCGGAATCTTGGGCAGCGGAGACGTGGAGTGAAGGAGACCGGGAGGGTGACGTACTGGCGGCGACGGTGATGCTAGTACAGATCGGGGAGCTTGGGGTGACTTTTTCATCTGCCTCCCAGTCTAGCGCCTCGGGATCAGCATCTTCGTCGACGCTGGGTAAGCCGCCGAGCTCGTCTGGTGGACACCTTGGAATGTGGTCACCCTGGACTTCTACAACATCGACTACGAGCGCATGGACAGCAGAAGGCATAGTACGAGACGCAGTCCACCTCGAACTTAGGCATGCAGGCAGCGCGGATGTGATCGACGTAATGCGCCGACTTCAAGACAGGCAGCGAAACCTCCGTCGGTGTGCCGCACTGCTTGATGCAGCCTTGGAAGAATGCCTTGCCTGGGTGAGGTGTGGCCGTCAAGCTGTCCCCTTCAATGCTGGAACCATAGATCGCAGACTCTGGGGAGTGATAGGGCGGGAGGCGCAGATGGGTTCGGGTGGCACGACCTCCAGGGGTACTGGACTGAGCGAGCCCCAGGCAGTCCTCCTCCAACCTCATTTACCTCGAAACCTGGAGGAGCTGGAGCGATCCCTCCCACAAGTCGACCCACATACGGTTGCGGGCTACAGAAGACGAGCGTGGCAAACACATGTGGCTGGCCTCTACCATGGAGCAGGTCGTGAAGTACCGCTGGGTCCCTGGCCTTCGGAACATGACGTTGCCTTGTACATGGTCCAGATGCATGAGGGTGTGGTCGTGGTCAACTACCCGAGAGGAGAGAGTTATCCGGAAGACCCTGTACGTGAACGTGCTCGTCGAGGTGTGGCTTCTCGACGTCGTCTTCTCCCTGGCCGTGCAGTACGTGGATACGACCGTGTTGCAGTGGACCGGCGTGTGTCGGTGGCGGTGGGTGCAGTGGAGTCGGTGGGAGTGGGTGGTGCTGTGCCAGTGGGAGAAGTTCCTGCTGGGTCGGTGGTGAATGCTGCTCCTCTGGGTGCTGTGGGTCGTCGTGAGCGAAGTCGTAGCCGGGATTCTCGTGATCATAGTGTTCGAGATCGACGTTCTGCTGAAGATCATGCCGCCAGCGAGGCGGAAGAGGTCGACTGAATGCTCACAGTGAGAGGTGAGAGGCTTCTTTGTTTTGGCCATCGTGGCCGTTCTGACGTGTAAGCCTCTGTCGAGGCAGGCTTGTTCGCACGAAAAGGCCACTGCACTTTAAAAAAAAAAAAACCCCACTGTAAACCCTAAACCCCTAAACCCTAAACCCCTAAACCCCCAGACCCTAAACCCCTAAACCCCCAGACCCTAAACCCCTAAGCCCCGAAAAATGTGGGGCTAAGGGTTGAGGGACCCTAACCGTTCACCCCGTCAGGTTTGGGGCCAGGGGCTTGGGAACCCTTAACTTTTTGGAGCTTCCATAACCCTAGTCTAGTTCAAAAGGTTAAGTATTTTTGGGGATGGCGTACTCGGCGCCTAAGACAAGGGATCTGAGTTTCGAGAACTACACACAGATAAGGGGGGGGGGCTGTCTAGGCCGGTGGGACCGTTGCATGCCGCAAGACCCAGACGCCCCAAAACCCGAAACTTCAAACTTAACGCCCTAAGCACTAGATGGGGAGTTGTCTAAATTAGGGTCCCTTCTTGGATGCTTTTTATAAAGGTGCCGTACTATTTTCGGGACCTAAGCAGAGACCCTAATTTAGAGAACTACCCAGATCCTAACTCTAAAATCTTGAGCCCTGAACCCGAAACCAAGCCCTTTTGGCGGGTTAGAGTTGGCCTCTTCTCACAGTTTTTTTTCACCTCATGCGGGAGCTAGGTCTGGTTCATGTGAAAGAGACAGAAACCATGACATGCCTATTGATTTGATTAAGCATCAGAAGCAAGATGGAGAAGAGGGTGTTTTGCAGTTGCTTGATCTTCGACTGGGCTATGAAGCGGTTGGAGAAAGGAACGCAACAAAAACCACCCCCCAGGAAGGGATGATCAAAGTCATCGTCGAGCCTGAAGGGAAGACTGACAAGCGACGGCGGACAGAGACCAGGGAGGAGTAAAGTGCGCTGACGATGCGGGGTCACGGCTTCTGGGTTCATGGTTTCACAGAAGCCGCTAATCCGAAGCCATCGCATGTTATGCCGTGCTCTGCTATTACCGCTGCCACCACCACTACCACCACAACTATCACGACCACCACTACCACCCGCCACCCCCACCACCACTACTACTACTGCTACGACGACGACTACTAAATAAGATATCACAAGAATAGTCATAGCCATAGCTATGGAACGGCGTATTGATTCCTCGTAAGGTCTTGGGGGCTTACTGCTTGAGGTCTAGATCAGCGGTTTCGGGGTCTGAGATTCGACTTATTCCGATTTGCAGCTCTAGTGTCATGTACTGTAAACGAACAGCTCGAAAAGCCATGACGTGAAACGATAGATGGAACATGTGCACGCCATCTTGTGTTGGAGGTCGTTCTCGCCATCATGGACAGTAGTTGTTGTCGTCAAAGTCGTTGTCGTCAGCGTCGTCATTGTCACCATGGTCATCATCTGTATCATCGACGTCATCATCAGCAGCCTTAGTAGCAGCATCATGGTCGTCATCGTCACCATCACTAGCACTTGACCCTGCGCCTTAGAGCGTTCAGGGCCATTACATTTCGGGATGTGGCTAGCCTTGCTGTTGGTTTTGGGGTGGACTGAGTTGCTATTGGTTTTTGGGAGTCCAGGTTTAGATTCTCAGGATGCTTTGCGGGGAAAAAACCAGGCATTACGGGCTTGTCAAGAGTCAACCCTAAACCCTAAACCCTAAACCCACAACCCGAAGCCGTAAAACCTAACCAGCCTCGCCTCAGCCACAGATCCGCAAACCCAAACCCCAAACCCCAAACCCCAAACCTCGGACCCTAAAGCTCAGAACCCTAAAGCCCTAATCCTAAGACCTTAAGCCCGTGAAAACCCCTAAACCCCAAACCCTAAACCCGAAACGTACATGTAACATAGAAGCCTAAATAATTACCAATATTATTCCTATTAGGGCTCCTTCTCATACTTTTATAAAGGAGCCCAGAACCCTGTTCTAATTATTAAGGCCCCTACATTAACTTGAATCAGCCTTGAAAGCAATCTCCGAGGGTTGCTGGACAGTTTTGGGTGCCTGAGTACTTGGGCTTCGTGATGGAGCCATCATATAAGGGACTATCTTATAGTCACGAGTTTGATCATACTAGGGTTTAGGGTTTGAGGTTTAGGGTTTAGGGACAATAGGGACTATCGGGGACTACGACCGCATTGTGGATTTTTCCGACCCTTATATTAACTGCTGCATGCTGCTGCTCCTTATGGCTCAAGTTCAGCAAGAGCTGCTTGAGCTGATGTTAGCCACTGCGTAGTAGTTGATTGTACCCATGGCCCGTCCGAAAGAGCTAGGTAAAAAAAGGGGCCTGAAAAGTCAGACTAGGGCTTTCAGGTATATCATGTCAGGGACTATGAGGGGCTACTATTTCTGAAAATGTCTCGTGGTTAAAAGCTGAGTATCCCTCATCCGCAAAACAGGCGGCATTGCGCGACACTGTGACTCAAGTCGCTCGGTTTCGAGCCCTGGGTATTCGGGTTTGGGGTCTCGGATTTATGTTATGGGTTCAGTACCCTAAAGCCTCAACCCTAAACCGCAAACTCAGGGTTTAGGGCAATGCCATGCGGGCCCGTGGCGGCAGCGCCGGTGGTGCGGAGGTGGCTGCCCTACTATAGATCTGATTTTTTTCTAGTCGTATTCCGTTGTAGTCCCTAAGAACTCACTCCCAAACCTTATTTTAATCATTAAGACCCCTAAATTACTTGACCCAAAGAGCAGCTTGCTTGGAGGAGCAGCGAACCTAGCCAGTAAGATTATACATAACTTACCACAAGTGGGGGTGAAGAGTAGTCGAAATAGAAGTAAGGCCGATATAATTTGAACACTCTAGTGGCCTTGCTCCGTCTTGCCCGGCATATGTAGTCACGTTATCCTCCCAATATTCCGGTCCGGGCCCTAAACCTAGCTTAGGGTTTAGTGTTTAGAGTTTAGGCTTAAGGTATAGACGTAAACCTAGACGCGAAACCTTCAACTGCAGACCTTGAGCCCTAAGCCATGAAGCAAACAGCAAAACGGTTTAGGGTTTAGGGGTTTAGGGTTTAGGGTTTAGGGTTTCTTGCAAATTTCAGCGCGGGGTGAAGGATTTAGGAATCCTGTACAACAAAACACGGAACCGGGTGGCAGCCCTCATGCATCCCACAGTGGTTGCAAGCAACTCCCAGCATCCTTCGTGCAACCCTCGCCGTCTAAGCCTGAACCGTCCATCGAATTGGCACTTGATACCTCGCACCGTCCACCGTCCATCCTGCCCTGAGCCCTGGAAGTCTTCGACTTCAACCCTCCAGCCCTCAACCCTTATATAGGGGCGTAATAGAGGGGCCTTATCATCGATTTTTACAGGGTTTAGTAGGGTATTTTCTGGGGCATGAGAATGTTCTTCATAGAGTTTTATGCCCTGCAAGCCTGAACTAAACACCTCGAAGCCCTAAAGCCTAAACTCCTTTAACCCGAAAGTAAAAGCAGCTTTATAGAACCCTTAAAAATCTCAAATCTCGAATCCCGAAACCCTAACCCCTAACCCCTAAACCCTAAACCCTAAACCCTAAACCCTAAACCCTAAACCCCTAAACCCTAAGCCCTAAAGAGACACCCCACATCTCAAAGTACCCACCGGCCTTCTCAGGCGATGGCAGGCGACGAAGAGGCTCGCATTGGCTTTGGTTTAGGGTTTAGGGTTTAGGGTTTAGGGTTTAGGGTTTAGGGTTTGGGGTTTAGGGTTTAGGGTTTAGGGTTTAGGGTTTAGGGTTTAGGGTTTAGGGTTCCCTGAGGGTGCAGCGTTTTCGGTTTGTGACATTGGCCGTCTAGAGCCTTGGTAGCTGTGGTTGAGGGCGATGAGGGTTTCGGCTTTCGCGATGACTGAACCCTAACCCCTAAACCCACAGTCTTTGTGGTTTGAGGAGGGTTTCTTGGGACAAGGTTACGGGCTTCGGGTTCCGAGGGTTTTTGGGGCTGCTTAAGCCCTAAACCTGAGCTCTAGATCGCTCATAGGAACGCTTCCAGAACTTCCATAGAACCTTTCTCAGAGCCCCATGACACCCTGTAACAACCGCGTGTGTTGCGCGTGTGGGAGCGGGAGAGTGGTGAAGTGTTCTGTAGACCCAAAAGCGGAACGATTCTGAGTTTCAAGTGCTATTGCCTCCTCAACCCTAAACCCTAAACCCTCAACCCTAAACCCTAAACCGCAGCTGTGAGGCGACCCTCGGACCTCCTATAGGGCAGTAGAGGCCTTGCAACGAGGCAGAGGACTTCTCAAACCGAGAAAAAGTAAGTTTCTGCAATGTCGAAGCGACAGCTTAAGAAGTAACATAGGGGGCCTAAATAATTGCCTATACTATTTTGGGGTTCCTTATTGTAATTATAGTATAATATACCACCAAGCCCCGTTCTACTTATTAAGCCCCCTACGTTATATGAGGAACCCCCGACATAGTGAACTTCAGCAGTTGGGAGTGGTTCTAAACCCTGGCCCCTAATTCTGCGGCCTTGAACCCTGAAGACAAATTCCGTATCCAGCAATCCTTTGGCCCCAAAAACCTAAACCCTTCAAAACCCTACAAAACTTTGAGTCTAAGCCCACATCCTCAATCGCAAATACCCTAAACCCTAAACCCTGCACTTGAAAGCCGTGAACTCCAACCCCATAAAAGGAAAACTCCCAACCCTAAAACCTGAAAGCCTAAAGCCCGAAACTGCAGCTGCATAAACTTTACGCGCGCCAAAGAACCCTGGCAGCACCAAGCATCGGCTTTTCTGTCACTGTATACAAGACCCCAAGCCTGAAACCCCCCAAAAAAGGTCCAATAACCGCAAAGCCGCTGAAGCCTCACGCCCTGAATAAACCCTAACCCTAAACCCTAAACCCTGAACCCTAACCCTTAACGCTAAACCCTAAACCCTAAACCCTAAACCCTAAACCCTAAACCCTAAACCCTAAACCCTAAACCCTAAACCCTAAGGCAAACCCTTACGCCAAACCCGAAACAACCTGTTTGCTGGATGCTTCCAGGCGCCTATGCCGATGGGCGGCCAGCTTGGGGCCCAGGGCCAGGGAGTAGATATTATACATCCTCAAGCCCTGCACTCGAAAGCCTCCTACCTCGGCCATCTAAACTCCAAAGCTCTAAGGCTCAGGGTTTAGGGTTTTAAGGTTCTAGTCCTTAAGCACCCATAATGCAAGAAATCTAGGGTTTACGGTCTTTGGGCTTAGGCTCCTTGGACCTAGACTAACACAAGAAACCACAGATGGATCTTAGGGAACACCCATCAACTCCAAAACTCCAAGGGAAACTCACCCTAAACCCCTAAAGCCTAAACCCTAAACCCTAAGCCCTAAAACCCAAACACCAAGACCCTGAAGACGGAAGCCCTCAAACCCGAAACCCCGGACTGGCTACGAAACCATTCATACAACCCCACACTGAAAGCTATAAAAGACGTGTAATGTAGGGGCCGTGATAATTAGAATAGGGTTTTGGTATCATGAGGATCCTCCTAATAGTATAGGCAATTCTTAACGCCCCTATGTTAAGAATGAACCTTGCAAATCTTGCAAGAGCCGAAAACACTTCTGTAAACCCATAAGCCTCTCTTAAACCCCGTAAGAAAACTCTGTCAAACCCTGCAAAGCCTTCGAAACACCTGCTGAATTCCTAAAAGAACCCCATAAACCCCTAAACCCTAAA